GCGCTGCGGGCGGGGCCGCGCACCTCGTAGGCCAGGTCGGCGTCCAGCGTGGCCAGCGCAGGGCCCACGCAGTCCACGCCGGCCGTGAGTGCCACGCCCGTCCCGGCGCGCAGCAGGTAGCTGCCCAGCTCGCGGGGCAGGACCAGCTGCAGGCGGCGCTGGATGAGGCCCGGGATGGCGGTCTTGAGGATGGCCCGGATCAGGCTGGCAGGCATGGGCACGCTGTTCCCCACCAGCCGGTGCTCCAGGTGCTGGACGTCGAAGAGGGGGCGCTCGTCCCCGGGCTGCCACCCCTCCGCCCTGCGGAAGGATGACGTCCACCAGGGAGGGTGGGTGGGTGGGGAGCATGGCGCCTGGCTGCGACGCGCCGTGGTGGGAATGAAGTGCAAAGGGCCGCGGCAGGGCGCCTGCCGACCTGGGCATCGACGGGCCCACCTCCCTGCCTCCCACCGGCAACCCTCCCAATCCCTGGGCCACTGCCTCCACGTTCCCATCCACGACCTGCTGCCCGCAGGCCCCCACTCCCTCCCCCACACACCCACTCCCTCGACCCACTCCGTGAACTTGAAGCTGAGGCGCAGAAAGACATTGGCCTCCACGTCCGCCTGGCCGATGGACAGGTTGGGCACCTTGCTCCCCTTCTCGCCCACCAGCTCGAAGCCCGAGGTGCGGCCGCGCACAAACACGCCGCGCGTGCCCGGCGGCGCGGTGCCGGGCGCGTGCGTGCCACCGCCCTCGCCCACGTCGTCGCCGCCACGCTCGTCGTCGCTGGCGCTGCCGTCGTCGTCGCGCGCCGCGCGCGCGCCCGCGTTCTTCAGCCATCCGCCGCGGCCCAGGCTGTTGGTGCTGTGGGTGCGCCGGCGCGGCGAGGGCGCCGGCGACGACGCCGTACGCGGCCCCTGCGCCAGTACAGGCGGCCGCCGGGAGGTCGAAGCGTCGAGAGTGGACCCGCTGCGGTCCTCCCCAGCGGCATCGCGAGCCGCGGCAAACAGCACCTCGGCCGTGAGCGGGGCGGCGGGGTGTGCGGCGGTGTCGCCCAGGCCCACGCGCCTGTCCAGCTCAGACCCCGAGCCGGAGGGGGTGCTGGCCAGGCTGCCGTCGCCCTCGCCCCCCTCCTCCTCCTCCTCGTCATAGTCCTCCCCGCCGCCGCCGCCCGCCCCGCCCGGCGCGCCGACGCCGCCCAGCGCGCGCAGCGCGTCCAGGTCGCCGCCGCCCTCCGCCAGGGCCTCGGCGAGCGTCTCCAGCCGCCGACCGGGGGCGGAGGCCACGGAGGGGCGCGCCAGGCCGCCGCCGGCGCTCGGCCGCGCCAGGCCGCCCGCCGCCTCGCCCTCTTCCTCCTCGGCGTCCAGCGCCTGGCTTAGGTCGTCGGCCACCGAGCTGCGTGCGTCCAGGCTGTCGGGGTACAAGGAAGGGCCCGGACTGGCGCGGGAAAGGGAGTCCGGGCCCGCCCCGCCCTTGCTCTTCCGTCCCAGCAGCTTGGACGCCAGGGACTTCATGGACTTCTTGGGGGGGGTGCCGTCGTGTCGGAGCTCCAGCTGTGCATGGGTGGGAGCGGGGGATGTGGGGGTGGGAGCGGGGGGGATGGTGGGGGGTGGGAGCGGGGGAGCAGTAGTTCAATCTGGCGGGCATGGGGTTCAGGAGGAGCCTCAAGGACGCACCCCTGCCATTCACAGGGCCACGCTCCGAATGCCGTCGCCTCCGTGCAGCTTCACAGGACCCAACAGGCAACTGCCTTGGCCAAAGTCCCGTCAGAACTGCACTGTGAGACGCTGACACCACGAACCAACACAATGTCACAGCCAGCAGACATTGGCACTGCCCGAACCCAGCCCCATCACCCCGAGGCACACCTCTGCACTGCCGCTGCCCTTGTACTTCTCCTTCTTGCTCCCGATGCGAGCCATGAACTTGAGCGCCATCATCTTGCTTTTGGAGGCCTTGGGGGGGATGGGGGGCAGCGGCGCCTGCGGGCCGCTGCCAGCTGCACCAGGCCCCGCGCCCGAGCTGCCAGGCAGGCTGACCTGGGGTGGGAAGAGGCCGTGCGAAGGCGGGGTCTTGGTCGACCAACCGGGGCTGCCATCTGTTCCCGCACTTGCCGACGGTCTGTGCTCGCTGGGAAGGGCTGCAAGGGTGCTCGCACCAGGCTTGGGCTCCAGCTCCTCCCTTGGGTTGTGCGAGATGCCTGGCGGCCCCCGAGCGGCCTGCGTGGGCGCTCCTCCAGGAGGCCCCGTGCCCGCTCTCCGTCCAGAGGAAGCCTCGCTGCCGGCGCCGGCGGCAGACCTGCCCGCGCCATTATCGTCCTGCCTGTCGTTCGAACTCCGGCGCGGCACCGCCTTGGGTCTGTGGACAGGGGGAGGGATGGGACATGAGTGTGTGGGTCAGAGTCTGGAAGGATAGACTACTGGGGTGGGATCGTTGTGCATTTTTCAACGCAGGCCATAGTGTCATGTCGCGCGGGAAGAGGGCATGGAGCCTCAGGTCGCCATCTGCCAGGCCCGGCGAATGGTCACGGGGTGGATCGCCACCACCACCCACCCCAGCCTTGCATGCATGACTAATGCCCCATGGCCCCACGACTCTCCTCTCCCACGGATGAAACAGGTGACCACTGGCTCCCCCCGCACCCCACCCCTCCCCGCGAGACTGCAACGCCCCCACCACCCCTCTCACCTGGGCGCATGCCCCTCCAGGACGAGCGTGGCCGCACCCCCCGGCACGCAGGGTGGACGGGCCTCCACCACCGCCGTCCCCCGGATCTCGGAGATGCAGATGTCCTTGCAGGCGCCGTACACGCCGCCCCCCCGAACGTGATGTTGTAGCCGCGAAGGTCGGGGAAGTACTGGCGCCGCTTGGCGCGGTTGTACGCCACACGCGCGGCCGTGGCGTCGGCGCGCGCGCGGTGCAGCGCCGCCGCGCCGCTGGCCTCGGCCGCGCGCCGCGCCTCCACCAGCGCCTCGGCCGCCTCGCGCCCCGCCAGCTCCACCTCCACCGCGCTGATCTCGGAGCGCAACACGCGCAGCGTGTCCGCCAGCGCCACCAGCCGCGTCTCCCAGACGGCGGCCTCTGCGGCACGCCGACGGGGCGAGGCGGCCAGCACCTCCGCGCGGCACTCCGCTGCGTCAGCCTCCAGGCGCGACACCAGTGCCAGGAGGCGGTCCCGCTCCGCGGCGAGCGCGGGGATGGGCAGGGGCGCGCCGTCCGGCCCTGCCCGGCTCTGGATGGGGTTGAAGCCGGAAAAGACGGCCGCGTTGGTGGCGTTGGCCGCGCCGGGGCGGCCGCTGAGGTCGGTGCGGGCGCGCGCCGCGATGCGGGCCTCCAGACCCTCCACGGTCCTCAGCAGCAGGGCCTCGCTGGCCTTCAGGCTGGCGGCCTGCGCCTTGAGCGCAGGGCGCTCCGAGGAGGTCCAGCGGGCCAGGGTCTCCTCCCTGCGCCGGGAGCCCTCTGCCAGCAGGGACTGGGCCACGCGACGCAGGCGCGACAGCTCATCGTCGGTCATGGCGCAGGCAGTCGGGCGGGTGGGGGGGTGGGGGTTTGGGGGTCGGGTGCCGGGGTGATCGAAAGTGGGGGCCGGCCGCAAGGCCGCCCACCGAGATGAATGAGGATCCGGGGTCTGCGAAGCGACACTGGAGATCCGATGGTGGCCCTGGACAGGCATCGATCCAGCCATCGCCGTCCACAGCCCCCCACGATCTGTGTCGGAAAGGGGAGCTGACCCGGCGCGTTGATGGCCGCACGCACCGCATGCGAGGCATCCTTCTGCTGGTTTGTACAGCTCGACGGTGGAACCACGCACATCTGGACGCGTGCCGTCTCCCATTTGAAAATTTGATCCTGCTCACTGCCTGTCTCATCCGTCGTGCACCCCACGGACCCCTGGTCACTCGGCCGACAGCTGGCGACGGCCATGGCCCGCACCAAGTGCCCGGCCTAGATCTACAGTGTCCGGGGGAGTAGACTGGTGCAGATCTTCGACGCCATGATGCCCAGGGAAGGCATGTCGATCGCCGGCTTCGTGGCATTGGTGACCGTGTACCTCGGGCTGAACAGCTCGCTCAACCTCCTGAACAAGGTGAGTGCGCGAGGGGTCCTGGGATCCCGGTGGCGAGGCCTGGCAGTGCGCGATGGGATGCCATTCACCAACCTCCGTGGAGCTGCGTGTGTCATTCTGCCCCCGCCCACCCCCTGCACCTCTCACCCCTGTCCCGTCATTGGCGTGGCTCTCCACCAGCAGCCCTGCCCCACGCCTCGTCAAAGACACCTCCCCCTACACCCCAATAAAAGCCGCATCTCAGACCCCTTCCCCTCCACGACGCAGTGGGCGCTGGGCATCTATGGCTTCCGCTTCCCCTTCCTGCTCACCACCGCGCACATGAGCTTCTCCTTCCTCGTGCTGGCCCCCTTTGCACTGCGCACGCCTTGGGAGGCCCACCGCGCCACGCTGCGCCGCTCCTGGCGCGGCGTGGTCTACATCGGCGCCTTCATGGCCCTGAACATCGCGCTGAACAACGTCAGCCTGCAGGACATCAGCCTGACCCTGAACCAGGTCATCCGCTCCGCCATCCCCGCCGTCACCTGCCTCCTGGCCGTATTCGTGGAGGGCCACGTGCCCTCCCGCCGCGAGGCCGCGGGCGTGCTCACGCTCACCCTGGGCGTCATGGCGGTGGTGTGGCAGGGTCGCGCCACGGGCCGCGCCTACGCCGTCCTCTTCTGCATGGCCGCCACCGTCTGCAACGGCGCGATGATGACCTTCTCGGGCAAGGTCATGTCGGAGAAGCTGGATGTGGTCAGCCTCACCTTCTACACCGCCCCCGTCAGCCTCTTCTGCCTCCTCCCATTCTTCCTGAAGTTCGAGGTAAGGCGACAGCGCCCATGGGCGCTTGGGCTGTGCTCCCCTCATTCCCCCTCCCCTAACAATGATGATCCTCAACCCCACCCCCCCAACCCCACTACCCAGCTGGCCAAGCTGATGGCATACCTGCCCGAGAACCCGCAGGGTGCAGCCTACGTCCTGCTCCTCACCTCGATCAACGCGCTGGCCTACAACCTGGTGCACACGCTGATGATCAAGCGCACCTCCGCGGTCACCACCACGGTGCTGGGCATGATCAAGATCGTGGGCCTGCTCCTGCTCTCCACCTTCCTGCTGGGGGAAGGGAGGGAGCTGACCCCCAGCATGACCGCGGGCTGCATCATGGCCGTCACGGGGTTCGCCGTCTATTCCCACACCCGCCTGACGGAGACGCGGGCCACCACGGGCGTCCGCGTCATCTCCCTCGAAGGCGACGAGGAGGCGGGGCGGCCAGTCAAGGGGCTGGGCGCCAGCGCCGCAGTCTTCAGGCAGCCCTCCACCCCAAAGTCCAGCGAGTGAGGGAAGGCGGAATCTGGGAGGGGCCGGTCTGGGCGGCGGGCCCTAAGTCCAACGAGGTCGCGATCGCAGGAGCCGACCGGAGCGCTGGCAGGGCTGTTGCTGCTCGGAGGGAGCACAAGACACGCCATGAAAAGACACCAGCCTCATCAGCGCCGCCTTGTATGTCAAGCTGTGGCCCATGAAACCCTAAGACCGCCTGGTGTAGGACTCTGTACTCCCGATGGGCTGCTGCCTTCTGAAATTCCCCTTGAATACTGCCTTGCAGCTCAGGACAGGGAGCGCAAAGTCTTGCAGCTGCCTCCCATGCACAGGGCGGTCCTGATGCCCTGGCTGCCCACGAGGCCCTCGCTCCTGTACTGCATGCTCTGAAGAACTGCACACCTACCTCGAAGTCGGTCATGTCAAGGGAGTCACAGCAGCAGTCGGCGACGTGGGGGTGCAGAGAGCGGAGGGGGCAGCCGACATGCAAGGCGCGCCCCCCCTCAGCCCAGGCTGTTGATGGCCGCGCCCAGCGGCCACGCCGCCTCCACCTGCTCCTTCTTGTACTGGACCTGCAGAGGTGTTGGATTGAAGGGGGGGTTGAAAAGTGCACAGAGAGATGTGAAGACTTGGGACATGCTCGTGCATCCTCATACTCGGCAGACAGAGCCAGGACCTCACCAACAAACCCAAACTCTGCAACACCTGCCGGCCAGCCCCACCCCCTCACCTTCCCCACCGCCACCCACCTTCTTTACGATGGTCACCTCCGTCTCCTCCGGCACGCGGAAGCCCTCCAGCAGCAAGGTGTGCACGTAGCACAGGTCCATGCAGAAGAAAGGGCGGGCCGCCTCTTGCACGTTGGGGAAGAGGGTGCCCAGGTCTGCCAGCTTGGCGGAGCAGGCCTTGTCCGCCAGCTTCTTGAACTCGGCCGGCTTGACCCTGGCCTCGATTGCGGCGGTTTCGGGGACCAGGCCTGGGGTGGCGGGGTGGGCATGGGAGGGCTCAGGGTATTCGGTGGGATTGTCCAACACGACGCGGGAGGTGGGTCAGAGGCAGGGCGCAGGATTGTGGTGGGGAGCAGGGCGCGTCCATCCAGCGGCAGCGCTCGCCACAGCCACCCCGTGCCATGCATCACCCCGCACTCGACAGCCCCCCCCCCCCTGCACGCGCCCACCTGCATCCACGGCCCTGTCCCAGAAGTAGGAGGATATGTAGAAGACGGAGGGCACGCGGCCCCCGCCCCAGGCCCCATTGAAGCTGCACTGCAGCTGGGGCGCGGCGCACTCCAGCGCCGCATTGAGGCTGCTGGCCGCCACGGCGGCGCAGGCGGCGGCCGACCCCGCCTCGCCGCCGCGCATGGGGTGCTTGACCCCGGCGTACTCGTACTCGCCCGCGTAGCCCACGGGGACGCAGGGGTGGGGCGCGGCCGGGTCGGCGGGCGCGGCCAGAACCCCCGCCCGCCCCGCCATCAGGCCGTAGCCCAGGTAGCTGTAGACGTACACGCTGTACCGCCGCCCGCCGCCGCTGAGCGTGGTGGTGTAGTTGGCGTGCGGCGCGCCCGCCGCCTCCTCCGCCGTCATGGCAAAGGCCTCCTGCACGCTCCCTCCGCCCAGGTCAATGGCCGCCACGGTGCGGTCCTCGTGCTCCCCCAGCCGGCCCAGCAGGTAGTTGAGGGTCAGCCAGGCAAAGGCGCCCTCATTGACCCCGGTCAGGATGGACACGTCCGACGCCGCTGACTGTGGGAGGCGGTTGCGGGGCGGGGGGGTGGGGGGCGCATGGTGGCATTTGTCAGGAGGGGCTGGCAATGACGACGAGACTGGCGAGCGAGTTGCGGTCTTCAAGATGCATTCTCATCGTGAAGTGTGCGCAGGAACCCCTCATACAGGACCAGGTGCATTGCACATGTCGATCCAGCCCCCAATGAACAGCACCAGGCTGCTGCCCAGGCCTCGGCCCCATCCCCACCATCAGGCAGTCCCCATCATCCCTTACCACCACCACCAGCCACCCCGCCTTCTCTCAGCACTCTGCCCACGCAACCCCTGCCACCCCCTGAACCAACCCACCTGGAAGGGGTAGGTCTTGAGCAGGGCCCGCACCTCGGCCAGGATCTCGTCGGCCTTGGTCCCCGGCAGCATCCTGAGCCCCGCGGTGGCCCCCACGCTGACGTGGGTTTGGGCGTGCAGCGCCTCTGGGATGGTCTCCAGGGCCAGGGCCAGGAGAGGCTTGAGCGAGGCTGCCGCAGCCTTGGGGTCCGCGGCGTAGGAGCTAAGTCCCGGCTTCAGCTGCTCGAACTTGTCAAACTGCAGGTCCTGCGCCCCCGCGGCGGAGGTCAGGAACTTGAAGATGTGCACGCGGCTACCCGTGGACCCGGCATCGATGACCACCGAGAACTTGGCTTGCTGCGTCGAGGCGTCCGCCGCCTTGGACGCCCCATACCGGGGGTCCAGGGGGGAGGCGCGGGGCATGATGCCCAGGACCAGCAGGACCAGGACCACGGGAATGGACAGGACGGTGAGCAGGACGCGGTGCCTGTGGGGGCAAGGGGGGTTGGGGAACGTTGAACGAGGCAAGCCGCTCTCCGATACCGGGCAACCCATGTGATCTGCCGCTCGCCGAGGGATCACATCTGCCAGGCGCATACCTTCTCACGAGGTCCCAGCGACCCTCCCGTCCCTTTCCCATCCTGGGAAAGGAGGGGCGTAGGGCGGACGTGGTGCTGGAGCTGTCCGCGATCTGGCCCGCCAGGGAGCGCCTGCGAGAGGCAACCGTCCTTCTGGCGATAGATATGATTACAAGTACAACTGCCAATGCATTCGAGGTCTCGCTGTGCAGGTCCCTTGGCACTGCACCTCCCTCAGCTCTTTGCCCTCTTGGTGCGAGTCCCGGCCGGAGCGAGGGCGCGGGCGCGCCAGGCCGGTGTCCGCATTCACACCCAGACCTTGATCAGGCCATCCACCGAGCTGGTGCACAAGGTACTGCCCTCCGGGTGCAGGGCCATGCTACACACGCTGTCGCTGTGGGCCTGGTGGCTCTCCACCATCTCGCCAGACGCCAGGTCCCAGATGCACACACGTCCATCCTCGGACGCGCCAAACACATGGGCGTCGGTGGGACTGAGGCAGCACTCGATGCGCGTAGACGCATGCTTGTGTCCTGCTCACCATTTGAGCGGTCGGGGTGGGGTGTCACGTGGGAGTGCCTGGGTCACCTCGATCCAACATGGCACTGCAGGTCGTGCAACGCAAAGGCCCCGCACATTTCATCCTTGGTGTTGCCCCTGTTTCCCATGCTTCATCGTGTCTCCCCTCCCCCTTCCCCCTCCGACCATCACCTCTGAACTCCATGAGCAAGTCGCCCTCAGCACGATCCAGGAGCCTGATGCAGGAGTCCATGCAGGCGGCCAGGAGCATGGCGCCGTCTCGGGAAGCTGCCAGGTGGGTCACCGGCACGTGCAGCGCGTCGGTGAAGAGGCAGCCCATCCTGATGTCATACCGCCGCACGCCGCCGTCCACGCTCGCCGCCGCCACCTCGGCGCGTCCGCCGGCCGTGTTAGTCGTCACGCTGGTGACGCTGTCCGACGCGTCGGTCATCACCTGCACGGGGTCAAACGAGCGGGAGCGACAGTCCCAGACCTTGACCGCCTGGTCGTAGGACCCCGTCACCAGCACCTCGTCGCCGGCGCCCTGCGTGATCTGCAGTGGAGTTAGGATGGGCTGTTTGAAGGTACTCTTTCGCCGGTCTCACCACCACCTTCATCCACATGAGCGCATGCCCGCAGGCACTCATGACTCCAGACAGCACATACCGCATTGATGGGCGCATCGTGGCCTCGCAGCTTCCGGATTATCTTTCCGGACCCGACGTCCCAGACAAAGACCTGCTTGTCTCCGCCGCAGGACGCAAACCTGGCCAGGAGGGAGATATGGGTGGTGTGTGGGGTTGAGAGGAGAAATAGTAGGGATGCCTGGCGGGAGGAGAAGTAGGTGGAGGCGCACGCTGGCAGCTTGGCCGAGGAGGGCACATGGAGGCTGAGGATGGCAGCTAAAATCCGCAAACATAAGAGAATTATGACCACAGCTCTATCAAGCAAGACTATCAAATCAAGGCCAAGGCATGCTCCACCCCTGGCCGTCAACGGCTGCCCTGTCCTACTTGCTATTGTCCTTGGTGACAGTCACATCCCGGACATCATATCCATGCCCAGTGTACGTCTTCACGAGTCTGCCGGTGTGTGGGTTCCACAGACGAAGCGTACGATCCTGCAATCGCCCCGGGAAATGGGAGAGGGTGAAGGTCTAGTCGCACCTTTTCCTTGAGATCAGCGGTCGCCATCAATCACACAGACCGCCCTCCGATCGACCCCAAGCACCTTGCCACAGGACAAGCAGTAGGTGCCTTGACTGTTGAAGCGCACAGCGTACACGGGGCCTTCATGACCCTTCAGCTCGTAGCTTGCCGATGTGGGAAAGTGCTCGGAGGGCTCCGCGGCGAGGTGCGGGGGCAGGGCAGGCCCCAGCGGGGTGGGAGGCATGGTCCACACCCCTCGAGTGATCCCTCACATTCCCCGCTGCTGGATCTACCAGTTGCAGAGTCTCAATGTATGTAGTATTTTGGATGCATTGGATGCACAATCTGGTGCTGTTACCACTTCAGTCATGCAGAATCATTCCCGGTCTGGCGCGCGCTCTGCGAAATCGTGCCTATAGGAAGTTCACACGGGCAATCCACGCACTAGAGTCTCGACGGTATACACACCGTAGACCCCGCTAATCCCTGTAAAATGCCCACATGCCAAACTTGATGCTGCGGGAAAGCATGTGACTCGTCGTGCGTGGTGTCGGTCTCGGATTCGGGGGCCCCATGCCTGACCTGAGCCAGATCGTATTGAGGCCACATGCACAATGTAGAACCCTTATCGTAGCTATTGCTTTGATATTGCTCGTTGAAGGCGCGCTTGCGCTGCAGATCTCTCCTGTGCAGCGTGCTCTGGCTCAGTATCTGACCAATGAGGAGCTGAGCACCTACCTCCAGGATTATCAGAGACGCTGCCGGGACATCGCAAAACTGCACGTCATCGGGACCAGCGTTCAGGGCAGGTTCGTCTTGGATCTCAAGCTGGTGGGCCAGATGTGCAGGGAAAGTGTGGGCTGAGCTGGTGCCGGAGGCGGTCAAGGCAGCTACGACTGGATACAAACTCCATCAATGGGGCGATCTACGTTTAATGGGGACATGCCGTAGTGCTGAAACACCCTGGCAGTAATCATGTAACGACAGGAAGACCACATTCACACAGTCCCCAAACACAGGCAGCTGCTGGCACTGGAGCTGGCTGCATCGCCCGGGTCAACGAATGCGCTGCCTCACTTCAGATACGTGGGCAACCTCCACGGCAACGAGCCCACCGGCCGCGTGCTGACTCTGGCTCTGGCCGAGTACATCTGTGAGGCCCGAGGGGAGGACCCCCAGGTAGCCCAGATCCTGGCTGGGATGCACCTGTGGCTGATGCCCAGCGCCAACCCCGACGGGTTCGACCAGCGGACCCGGGAAAACATGTGCGTGTCTTTACCATAACCAGTGACTGGGAAGCAAATGCCTGGGAGGATGAGTTTGGTGCCTGCGCGAAGATCGACCCCGTCGAGTCGGGTGCCTAGAGATGTGGGAGCAGGGTGATTGGGATAGCTCTTCCCACCAACACAGCCATTCCTGGCCGAGATCCACTCCTGAGGGGTCTCCGTCCCTTCCCTCGTGACCAGAAACAATGTGGACCTGAATCGCGACTTCCCAGATAGGTTCTCAAAGCCGCCGAGCTTGATGCCAACTGGCAGCGAGCAAGCAGAGGTCCGGGCTCTGATGGACTGGAGCCGCCGCATCGGCTTCACTGCCTCGGCTGCGATGCATGAGGTGGGCATGCAGGGGCTGATGGACGGAGGGTTAGAGGAACAAGGGTGGGTATAGGCACTGACATGCTGGCATTCAAGTCTCGTGAGGGAGGCGGCCGGGATTGAATCCACCAGCACCTCCCAACTGTCGAGTCAGACCAGGTCCCTCGGGCCTGACCAGATGAACTTTAAAGGGAGCATGTACACGTACAATGAAGAGGTGCTGCTTACGCACATACGCTCTCACACATCCACATGTATCACACACCCACTGCAGGGGGCGCTGGTGGCCAACTACCCCATGGATGGCACGCCAGACAGGTCGACCCAGTACGCCGCCAGCCCCGACGACGGCACGTTCCGCCACCTGGCGACCAAGTACGCGCAGGCGCACACGAGGATGGCCCTGCCCACGAACAAGGTGGGCGCGTGGGTGCACGCATGCGGCGCTGCATCAGTCGTCCTGCCCTTCCCAGCCCCAGGAATCGACAGAGTGCACGGTCACCATCCCATCACAGGAGTTTCCGAATGGCGGCATCACGAATGGCGCGGCGTGGTATCCCATCTACGGCAGCATGCAGGACTGGGTCTACCTCGCGACAGGCTGCTTCGAGCTGACGGTGGAGGTGTCGGAGTCCAAGTGGCCACCCATGGCCAGCCTGGGGGCGTTGTGGAAGGAGAACAAGGCATCCCTCCTGGGTCTGCCCCTGCTGGCTGTGCTGGGAGGGTGCGTACGATTTGGGGGGGTTGGTCAGAGGGGGCTGGCATGCACCAGGGTGTGGAGCAGGGGATGTCATCCTGGAGCAGCAGCCGCGGCTCAATTCGGCATTGTGGCTGCAGCTAGTGCACAAGAACAGAGAGTCACCGCATCGATGCTTGTGGTCTTCCTGGATCTCACCCTCAAGACTTCCTAGCCTGATCTGCATTCCCACAGGGTGCGGGGTGTGGTGAAGGCCTCCAACCCACTACGCCAGGGCGGGATCGACACCCCTCTCCGCGCAAACATCACGGGTGCGAGGATGGGTCGGGGTTGACTCCCCGGGAAGCATGAGGAAGCTTGTCGGTGGTTTAATACAAGCTCAGCGCGTCCATCAAACCCCGCATCCACTTTCGCTGCACGGCGTGTGTATGACATGAACCAACCCCCCTCTTCTCCCACATCGCGCTGCAGTGGCGGGCATCGAGACCGTGGTGCAGAGCCGGGAGGGCACCGGCGTGTTTGCGCGGCCCCTGGCACCAGGGACTTACGAGCTGCAGGCGAGGGCACATGGCTACACCACTGCTACCCAGCAGACCACGGTGCCCGACGACGGGACGGGCGTGGAGGTGCTCTTTGAGCTCAAGCGGGTGGCATCCAGCGGCAGGGCCAGGCGGGCGGGCGGCGAGGAAGCCGCCGACGGCGCCGCGGCGCTCGACTCCGTGGCAGCTTGGGGTGTGAACCCGGGCGGCGCCCTCAGGTTGGAGCCCCTGCGTCGCAACGTGCTCCTCGTCTCTTCCGGCATCGTCTTGCTCCTCGTGGTGTGGTTTGGTGGATGGCGGCTGGCGGCCACCCGGAGGGGGAGGAGTCTCCAGCCCCGCACAGTCATCTCCATCCCCCTGAGCAGAGTTGCGGGTTAGGGGCCATGACCTTTGCCCGGCCAAACCCCTTGCCTTTCAACCAGTTTTGGACTTGAGCGTTGTTGAACTGGATTGAAAACAGCGAGTCCAAACGAGCCGGTCGTCTGCTGCCCCAGAAGGCGGTCTGTCTTGGGCCAAGGTAGGCAAGGGAGGGGCCTTCCCATCACGCTACACAAAATACTCTCTTCAGTGCCTGTGGAGTAGTTAATTCAGCCAGAGCACGCGCCGGTCGATGTAGTATAACGGTCAGTATACGTGCCTGTCAAATGGTGCTGAGTGCCAGTCCTTTCTGGACGCACGTGATCCGGGTTCGATTCCCGGCATCGGCGAATCATTTTGTCGTTTTGAACGACTGTATACTTTGACAGGCACCCATGGATTGAAGATGTACATCAGGTAGCTGCGAACGTTTGGTCTGGAGAGCAGCATCGATGCTGACCTGAAGGGGTCGGCCACATGCTGCCATGATCCTCTTCGTTCCCCTCCACCGGAGTCTCAACCCCTACTGCAACAGCAGTTCCTAGGGAAATGCCGGCGATGGGACCGGCTGCATCTATGCTTCATGGCCGTCAGCCATCTTTCGATCATAGACATGCACTATTCACCCCACTAGTGGAACTAGGAAGTGGCGGGACATTTCCAGCATCATAGAGAAAGGGAAGGTGTTAAGTCTGCTGCTGAGGCACCGGCGCTTCGGTGCGATGGGAAGCTTATAACGGAGTCCTGCATAGCGGATAATCACGCCCGCATGACACACCGCCCATCCCCTTGGCCAGAATCACACCATGGACCACCACCGGCCTCCTCGCCAATCACCACCCCGTAATATGCTGGGCAACTTACCCTGTCACTGCCGTTGAATGGCAGCGTGTCGCCCCCTGGTCTCCACTGTCGAAGATAGCTCCCGCACATGGCAAAGCACGCCGCATCCGCTCCCATGTTGAGAGGGGAGGCGGCAAGAGGCGGCAGACTGCTTCAGCAAGCAAATGACGGCCAGGATGGCCTTGCACCTAATATGAGATCCATGTCTGTAAGCGACCAGCTTAGCAATCCGGCAGGGAGAGCGTCTGCGGGGCAGCAGTGCCTCCGGACGGGCAAGGGAGAGGACGGGGCCGCCCCTCCTCCGGCACCCCCTCCCCCTTGGGCCGCGTGAGGCCTCGACGGGCGGAGGCCCCGGGGACGTCCAACAGGTGCAGGAAGTGCTTAATCGCTGTTGCACTCGATACTGTATCGTTCCCATGATATTAAAACACAACAATCTGCCTCGCGGGGCGCGTTCGTACCCCGACGGGACATGGCAATGCCCTGCAAAGCACGAAAATCTATCGACCGAACGAGGGGATCTCGCACCGCGAACAAGCACTTGGAGTTCTACAAAGCCTATTAATTAATATTTGAGGGGTAAATGTCATTAGAAGTGTGAGTTGTGACTTGTCCCAGGGGGGCGATAATGTGGTGAAAGAACGGTACTCTGTGTGCGCGCCCTGCAGGGGTGGACTTGGGCGCGAGCTCGGAGGAGCCGGGCTTCGCGAATGCAAAGCTGCAGCGAACAACGGATACTACACAAAGCGGTATATGAATCGAGTTTAAATCCCATAAATTCAACCATAGGATGAGCTTGAAGCGCCAGGCGCCCCCGTCGGGCCCGACACCGACGGCGGTGGCAGAGTGAGGCCTGGGGCAGGGTGCCGTTTTCCATGCAATGGCGTGGTGCAGTTGGAACAAATGCTGAGGGACCCTCAAGCTTCCCCATGAGACCCGCTTTCCTCCCTCTCCACCCCCTCACCACAGGGCTCCCAAGCGGCATTCCACCATTTCCATGGCGGTGGGTGCCTCCTGCATAGAGAACACCCAGAACCAGCAGCTGGCCTCCCTGCTGGCCAGCCAGATCGCGCGTGCCGCTGCCATCTTCAACATAGACGAGGTCATCGTGCTGGACGACGTTGAGCGCCCCGACCGCGACGTTCCCAGCCCCGCTGCCGCCCTGCTGGCACGCATCCTGCAGTTCATGGAGACGCCCCAGTACCTCAGGAAGTAGGTTGGGGGTGGGTCGTGGAGGTGGTGCTTGGTTGCTGGGGGGAAGGCATGGGCGCTGGGCCTGCCGGGAAGGTGTATCTTCGTTCCTCCAGGGAGTACTCGACGCCGATTTCGCTCGTGCTTGCCGACCCGAGCCCAGCTCCCATAGAGTTTGCCCTGGCCACACTCTTCCCAGCCCTGCATCTCCTGTCACGAGACCCCCACCTTCCCCCTCCCACCCAAGTCCTGCCCTCACATCACCCCCCACCTTCCCCCTCCCACCCAAGTCCTGCCCTCACATCAACCCCCAACCCCCCACCCGCAACCCCCACGCTCTCGTAGGGCGCTCATTCCCATGCACCCCGACCTGAAGTTTGCGGGGCTGATGCCGCCCCTGGACGCCACCCACCACCTGCGCACGCACGAGTGGGGGACGTACCGCGAGGGCGTGGTGCGGCACAGCGCCCCCGGCGACGGCTCGGTGGTGGACATCGGCCTGGAGCACGACGCCCTGATCCCGGAGCAGGTGGCCCCCGGGACACGCGTCACGCTGCACGTCGGCGCAGCGCCGCAGCTCGGCCAGGTGCACGGCCAGGCGGTGCACGGCGCCAGCCTGGCAGCGCCCACCGACCCGCGCGCGAAGGAGGGGCGGGCCTGGGGCTACCTGACGCGCGTGGCGCCCTCCCTCCAGGCCCTGCTCCAGGCCTCGCCCTTCGAGGGCGGGTACGACCTGTGCGTGGGCACCAGCGAGCGCGGCGAGTGCACGCCCGCCGAGGAGCTCCAGTTCCGGCCCTACCGCCACGCGCTGCTGGTGTTCGGCGGGCCGGCGGGGCTGGAGGCCTGCCTGCGCGGCGACGCCTGGGCGGCCAAGTACCGGGATGTGGCGCAGCTGTTTGACCGCTACGTCAACACCTGCTTCCACCAGGGCAGCCGCACCATCCGCACGGAGGAGGCGCTGTTCATCAGCCTCACCTTCCTGGACCCGGCGCTGCAGCGGTGCTGCATGGACTGAGGGGAGTGGGGGGGGGGGCAGCAGGCCCAGCAGGGCCCCACGCGCCCGCACAAACTCCGCACAAACTCCGCCATGCATCCATGCCTGACTTTTAACCCGTGTAATTACTTGCTCTCTGAATCGCCGAAAGAGAGGGAAGTCAGAGATTGAGATTTGTTCCGGCGGCACCATCCAATCGCGAGTTGGCGCAAGGGACATGGCATCAGCGGAACTCGACGCCCTCGCGACGGAGAAGCATGCTGCCTATATCGAGAAAGTCAGCAAGGTAACACCAGGCTGACTGTACATGCTCCCTCATCGAAACGGCTCGCGTTGACTTCCTCGACACATTTCCGGTACAGATCACTTCGGGCACACCCGACCCCAGACCCACACTGGATCAGACCCCCTACCCTGCAGGATCTGACCAGCTTCGAGTTCCACGCCACGGAGCACTTTCGGATGAGCGGGGTGTACTGGGGCGCCACTGCCTTGCACATCCTGGGCCAGCCGGAGCGACTGGACAAGGCCCAGCTGATAGCATGGGTGATGTCCTGCCAAAAACCCAGCGGAGGGTTCGCTGGCAGCGAGAAGCATGACGCGCACCTGCTGTACACGCTCAGCGCCCTGCAGATCCTTGCGCTGTACGACAGCCTGGACTTGGTGGATGCGTCCCAGGTGGCTGCCTGTGAGTGGGGCTGAGTTTTGGTGAAGGGGTGGGAACCTGCATTGCTCATTCGCACATCCCCCGCCTGGTGCAACGTCAAGACAAGTGGTATGCATTCAGTCTTTGCATCGGATGGCTTCTTGCCTTCCTAGCACACAATCGCAATGCTGTCCCCCTCAACAAGCAGATGTGGCCGGCTTGCAAAGAGGAGACGGCTCGTTTGCGGGGGATGAGTGGGGTGAAATCGATACCAGGTATGCCATGCCAGGACCATGCGTTGACCGAGAGCCTGGAGCCGTTCTGTACGCTCCCCAAACCCAACCGCACCCTACAACCTGCCCACCCCTGTGCAGATTCTCCTACTGTGCGCTGTACAGCCTGGCACTCCTACGACGGCTTGACGCGGCAAACGTGCCCGCGGCCGTGGACTTCCTCAGGCAGTGCCGCAACTTTGACGGCGGGTTTGGGGCGCAGCCCGGGGGCGAGTCTCATGCGGGGCAGGTGTTCACCTGCGTGGCCGCGCTCAGCATCGCCGGGGCCCTGGACGAGGTCGTCGACGCCGACCTGCTGGGATGGTGGTGAGCCTGTTGAGATGGGCCTGTGGGCTGGCGGCTCATGCTGAAAGGAGGGGGAGTGGGGGGGGGCTACAAGGTGTTTGGCGACATTGGTCTTGTAAATGCCGACGTGCTGCGACCTTGCGGCGACTGGCCCACTGTGCCACAACACCCCTCAGGTCACCCTTCATCCCTGCTCACTCCCACTCGCCCACACTGGACCCTTGTCTTAGGATCAGCGAGCGCCAGACACCGAGCGGCGGCCTGAACGGCCGGCCAGAGAAGCTGCAGGACGTCTGCTACTCCTGGTGGGCGCTCTCGGCGCTGAGTACGCTGGGACGGCTGGCTTGGATCGACGCCCCCGCCCTCACTGCCTTCATCCTGGGCTGCCAGGACCTGGAGCTGGGCGGTATTTCCGATCGTCCAGACGATGCGGTGGACGTGTTCCACACTTTCTTTGGCCTGGCAGGGTTGTCCCTACTGGGCCATCCGGGCCTGGCGCCCATCGACCCGGTGTTTGCCCTGCCTGTGACCACGGTGACGCGCCTGAACCTGGCCGCCCAGCGGTTAAGCTGCGCCTGACTGGGGCAGCCTCGCAGCCTGCTTCTTGAATGAATTACTGTGACACTCATCACGGGTGAGGCCGAGGCGGCGGGACGGAGCAGCAAGCAAACAGTGCTGGGGAGGGTGGGTGGGAGCAGCGAGCGAGGAAGCAGTGATGGGCAGGGCAAGGGAGGCGCGATTGCCAACCTCCACACCTCCCCAATCCATGCATGTCAGCAAAACTTATGGCCATAAATCGCCTGCGGCATTGCTGGCATCCTCACGCCCGTCCCTGGATCTCCAGGTTGTCGATCAGCCGCACCCGCCCAAAGACGACGGCCACGGCCAGCAGCACCATATGTGGCCCGGTCGCCAGGTCAGCGCCGGCGGCCAGGGGCCTGAGGCTGGCCGCGTCCACCAGCTGGACATAGTCCACCGCCCCGCCCAGAGCCTCGAGCGACCTCGACACCGATCGCTGAGCCTCCTGGACGGTAAGGGCCGACGCAGTGCCACTTGCGCGGCGCCGCGTGGCGACCTCCGCTTCCAGGGCGCGCAGTGCCTTGTAGATGCCGGGGGCTGCGGCGCGGTGATCGGGTGCCAGGAGCACGTTGCGACTGCTCATCGCCAGACCATCTGCCTCGCGCTGGATCGGGAGGCCAACTACCTCGATGCCAAAGTCCAGGTCGCAGGCGAGGCGCTACGGGGCAAATGCATGGTGGCAGGGTGCAGATTTGTGGCACGCAATTTGAAAGGGGGCAAGACACAGCAAAGTAAAGGCAGGGGGTGCTTGGCCACCATGCCAGGGAGCGGCGACAGGTTTGGTATGCCGGCAGGTACCCATGCATTCATCCCTGTGCAGAGAATGAGACCTGTCTGCAGAACGGTGACACCTTGACTACAGAACAGCAAGTACACTAAATAGCAACCCCACCCTGCCGCAGATACCCCGACCCACCTCGAGGATGCGCCACTGCTGGTAGTCCTTTTTCCCAAAGAATGCCATGTCAGGTTCCACGATGTTGAACAGCTTGGTAACCACCTGGAGGGACAGGGTGTTGATGTGTGGCGAAACCCTCTCCTGTGGGTCAGTGTGCAGGACCTCTACAAGAGACTGCACCACCTGCCAAACTTTCCACCCCCTCCACACTAACCCTGCGCACCGTGGCAACTCCTCTGAAGAAGTGTGGCCTGGAGCCCGCGCATAGACCCTGGGATAGCCCCTCCACATTGACCCAGGTGGAGTGTGCGTCCGAGGCAGCCTCGCCCTGAGCTGCACCCACCACCATGCTCGCATCACCCGACCCCAGCGAGCTTGACCCTGGATGGTACAAGGCCGCCGGCATGAAGACAGCCACACAGCCGGCCTTGGCCAAGAGGTCTAAATCGCGCTCGGTGCTGCGGGGGTACACCCCAAAGTCCTCATTGGCGGAGAATTGGGTGGGGTTGACATATATGGAGGCGATGACCACGTCGCATCGGGACCTGGAAGGTGCAGAGAAATGTAAATGGTGGGAGATGGCGAGAAGATGTTGCAGTGGTTGAGTTGCATGTGCGGCGGCCAAGTCACCAGGTCGGGAGCACGTGTAGCAGCTGATCCCCACCACCCTGGTGATCAGACTCACCCGGCAGCATGGACTAGGGAGATGTGGCCATCATGAAGGCATCCCTGGGTGGGTCGGAGTGCGACAGCTGCTTTCAACAGAAGGAGCTGAAGATTCAAGATACTGGAGGTGGCCAGGTGACCCACCATCCAGGACCAAGGCGAACAGCGCCCCTTACATTCTCCGTCCTACCATTGTCGGCACGAAACCGATCCGCTTTCCTGCTTTTCGCTGCTCTCTCGAGTAATTGCGAATGCCCGAGACATCCTTGAAAACCCGGGGTGTCTCAGACGCTGTCGGGTCTGGCTGTGACGACATGGTCACAACGGTAGGATTCTATGCCAGGATGACCTGATGGACATATAATGTGCGAGACTAATTATTTGTTGTTTGTGGGTGGCTTCGAACATTTGCTCAGCAACCGGTATAGAGGGGGGGGAACTCATGCAGTCGATTCCGGTGCGGAGCTCCTGCTCCTGTTCCTCTGATGACGGACACCTCCTGGGGGCATCTTTGAGAAACTCCATGCATATCACCCTATTTGTGCACCAAATCTGGGTGCACCTTGTACCTACTAAGCTGATCTGGTGGTTCATTCTCTCAAAGGGTCTTCCATGGCAAAAGCTGGGCAAAGGCGATCTCATACCCTCAAGAGGATTGCTGAAAAGGCACAAACATATGCCGGAACCTTAGTGTCATGCGTTGAGTTTCAAGGCAGATCACCAATAGATGCAAGTGGCAACTCGCATTCTGCATACAAGTCGGTTTCTACAGCTGTCGTAGGATCTTCAGTAACAAGGCAGGCAAGCCTGAGGCCAACCCCACAAGGAAGCGTGCGTCTACCTGCCCAATCAATCTGCAATGAGCTCCTGGTGCAGACTGCGCTGCTCGCTGGTCTGCCTCTCATATCTGTAGTGCTGCTGGGGTCTTCTCCCCAGGCGTCCTTGCCATTTGAATCCCCGCTTTGATGGTTTGGCATCCTCGTCTGTGCAGGGGTCAGGTAAGGGGACAGGGGAATGTTAGGCGACCAAGGTGATCACAACATCACCACGCGCCGACGACAACCAAGGAACATTCTTTGTGCGAGCGCATTCCGCTCACCTTTGGCTTTGCGGAGGGAGGCATGCAATGCTTCCCAGGCTGTACTACACAAGTGGTCTGTCAGCATGTGAGGTGATAACAGGATCCCCTCATCTGTGCAATGGATGTGTGAGGGGTCGAGTGGCACTTGTCGGCATGCAAATCATTAGCTATTGAAAGAGGGAATCCTAGTGTTCAACTTGAAAAGCATGGCACTGGTGGGATGGAGTCCTTTTCTGTTCAGCGTCGCATCTGGCAAGACCGAGCGCCCCCCTGTCTTACCGATGATGTCCTCTGGAGAGATCCAGACACAGTCCCATGCCTTCTTGCGCCGCGTCTTGATGGGCCGCACGAATATGAGACGTCCAGGTGGGTACATGCTCATGGGCTGCCCTCCAGAGACTCTGCATGATAGAGGCGGACAGCGTGACCCTCCTACCAGGGATCTCCCTGCAAGAAACTGATGCACATCACCCGCCATGCATGGCCAGGCTCTCCCACTGCGGAGCAGTTCAGACTCTAGTATCACACATGCCAATCCGTGTTCCCCACACCTGCTGTCATAGTATCCTCTCAACACCTCCAGTGACTCCTCTGGGATCTTGTCATAGTCCCAGAACAGATTCTTGAAGTCCTGCTTCTTCCTCTTCCACCAGGGATAGAATGTCACCTGTACAGATTGCCAAGGGGGCGAGTCCCCATTTCTTGCCCTTGCCTTGGGTCATGCCCGGGCCGCAAGGCCCTGTGACCCAGACAATCCGCGTGCAGACAGATTGGACAGCACTTACGCCGAGCAACCAGCCATGTCATCACCTTGAGCTTGGGCTGCTTGCACCTTGCCAGGGACGTCACCATCTCATCCATCAGCCTGCCCAGGTTTGCCACAGAGGCCCTGGGCACGGCATCCTTGCCCACCACAACTATGAGGGATCGAATACAGGCAGGCGGGAATCGAATCCTGAGCCTGAAACAATGGGCATTCACTCTCAACCATACGGGCATGACCTAAACCAACCGCGTCCCAGGCCCCACTCGTGGTAGTGAAGCTCGCCATGGCATGTGCCAGGTTCTTGCTCACGAGCGCGCCTGGGCAGCTGTACGCCAGGCACTTCAGTCCGGGGCAGTGATCCAGGAGCTGGAGGGAGATGAGTGCTGCAGCCCCTGCGCCGAGACTGTGGGCATTTGGATGGATGTTTGTATGAGGATGGAGGAGGCATGCATTGCTGGAGTTCAAAACTGCCACAGAGCATGGCAGGAGGCGGGCTCGAGTCTTGCAGCGCGCCGCGGAGTTGCGCACCAGCGTCAGGAGTTGACCAGAACACAAGCATCCCCATTGCAGACAAGCCTTCCGGTACCAATCGCTCACCTGTGTCCCACCACCATGAGCTGCCAGTCGTCCTCCAGCAGCTTCACCTTCATCAGCTCCCCCACCTTCTGGCCCGGCGACTTTTGCGCCCCCAGCTTGTCCACCGTGACACGTGGTCCGTCGGAATCTGCTAGCATGGTGCGCAGGGATTGTGCTTGTTTGTTGGGACCCCGGCGGGATGCATTCATCAGGCAAGGGCAGGGAGTCTGGTTGCATAAATCCCAGTTGGACACTTTAGTATCCAAGTCTAAAGTTACTGACGAGTTCTGGGCACCAAATCTCAGCCGACATGCCCTGCAGCACTCTTCCCTCGCACCACGACGTACAAGCACCCACCCCCCTCTCCCCTCTGACCTCACCTCTCGCCGCCGCGCGCTGTGCCTCTATGTCGTCCCCTTCGGCATCCCCTGGCCTGCCCGCCCCTGTCCAGCCCCCCGCGGGCAGCACCGCCGCGACGCCCTCGCGAATGGCCTGCCCCGCGCTGCCCATGGCCGCGCGCAGGGGGCTGGGCCCCGTGTCGGCGTCGTACTGGGATTCCCGCTGGGGCGGGCCCTCCCCGCGCGGCGCGGAGTAGTCGTCAGCCGCCGCCTCGCTGCCCACTAGCGGGGTCAGGATGCCCCGCTCCTTCATGTCCATGAAGATGGCCTGGGCCGCCGCCAGCATGCCCGTGTGCCCGAAGCAGGGGCCCTTGACGTCCTCCTTCAGGCTGACAGGGAGCAGGTGCTCCAGGCGCTCGCTGGCGACCATGGCATCCGTCACAATGTCGGCGGCAGAGATGGTACCCCTAATCGGAAGTTGCAAGGGGGGGTGGGGTGGGGTAATCAATGGAGCAGGTATATCAGTGGAGGGTGGGGACATGGCTGGCGCCGATGGAGAGGCCGTGACTGCGGGAGTGCACACATGTAGGACCCAGAAGGTGGCCGAAGCAGGCCAACACCACCCCCATCTCACAGAATTCACCGCACCTGATGGCCAGCACCACCGCCTTCTTCACATGGTCCAGAGCGATGAGGTAGGGCAGGTGCGCCAGCATCCGGTTGGAGCAGTTGAGGTGCAGCAGCTCGATGGTGGAGTCATCCTCCAGTTGCTCCAGCTCATTGAACCCTGAAAAAACCACCTGCAGGTGGTTTGTGGATGGAGTTGGGGTGGAATGGAGTTGAATGGAGGACATGTAAGGGGAGCAGCGCGCTGAGTTTATAACATCATGGCGCAGCAGGGGTGTGGGAACTTGACACGGTGGCTGAGCGCCATCCCTTGTACCCCAAATCAACACTCCCCCAACCCCCACACCCCCTCCCCTCTCCTCTGCTCACGTCCTGGGGCGCGGGCGGCTTCCAGCAGGCCATGTCCAGGATGCTGGAGGGGTTCTCGATCTTGGGCTGCAGGGAGTAGACAGCGTAGGCGTACTTGAGGAAGTAGGTGGCCTCCTCCAGGACCTCCACCCCCACGCGGTCATGCCGGCCAGCGTAGATGTCGGCCAGCGCCTCGGGCGGCAGCTTCCCTGCCAGGCGGTTGACGTACTGGGAAGGCGTGATGACGGTGGGGAAGCGCAGCGTAACGCTGGCCAGGTCGCGCACGCTGCCGCTGCGCGCCCCCTGGCTGGCCTCGGAGGGCAGGCGGCCCTCCGACCCCGGCGCGCCGGCCTGCCTGGCCGCCACCACGGCCTCGCGGGAGGGCAGCGGGTCCACGCCCTCCGGCACCGTCACCGGCGGGGGCTGGGTGGAGGGGCTGCTTCCCGTCGCGGGGGGCACTGATGGCGAGTCTGGGGGCCCGGAGTCAGAGACTCCGGCCGGGAACTCGGCGTCCTGGGTCCGGCGGGGAGAGCCGGGTGCCGTCTCCTCGCCCTGATTGGAGACGGAGGGGGCCTGCGTTGCGACGCTGGGGTTCAGCCAGATGGAGGAGGCGCCGTCTGCCAGCAGGGCCAGATCCAGCGAGGGGGCCTGGAGGTGGGAGATTGAGAGGAGGGGAAGGGGGGGTGGATCAGCTCCTCTCAAAATTCTTCATCCCGCAAGCATCATAGGGAGGACATCGGTCCCATGTCGCGTCCGGATACTGGAGGAACACGCCAGACAACCTCCAGCCAGCCGACGGCTGAAATCGACTGTAGGGTCACAGCGATGCACATTTGATGTACGATTGCCCCCTGCATCAGCAGCTGTGCAATGCCATTCCACAAACACAAGGCACCTTGTCCACTTGGAGAACCGCGTCCTCGTGGGTGGCCCCGATGTCCCCGCCACCCAGATCCTCCAGCTCATCCTGGATGGCATCCGCCAGTGCATCGGCCAATTCCCCCGCGTCTGTGCACGGGACAAGGACTGAGCGAGCTGGGGCGCTGTGCTGAACGGAGTGAGGGGGTGACGTGCCACTCATCTGGCACTCCAGTATCAAAGCCTGGCATCCAGTGCAGGACAGGCACTCAAAGAGGTCACAACTGGATGCAGGGCTGGGTACCGATGCACGTGCATGAGGCTCCTGCATGCCCAAAGATCACATAACCTGTCTCCCAAGGCCTCAATGCACTTTGACTACAGGCAAACACCTTGCTTCCTTCAGTCGCGTCCACGCTGGTGGCCAGCTTTCCCAACCCTTTCGCCACACTCTCCGACGCCTCCCCACCTTGCCCCGTGTTGGCAGCCAGGTCGTGGAGCTCGTTGGTCACTGCCACCGCCGCCGCCTCCTGCTTCCCGTCGTCTCCGCCCCCCGCCGCGCTTTCCTCGCCGCCCACCGAGGCGCTGGCCAGCCGATCCATCAGCGCCACGTTGCTCTCGGTCAGGGGCAGGCTGGCGGCGGTGTCGATCGCGACCTCCGGCGCCTCTGGCCTCGGCTCCCCACCTTCTACCGGCTGCCCCGGCGACACCAACTGCTCAAAGGTCACGATCTTCCTGCTGCGCGGGCCGGCCAGCCCCGGGCCCGGGTCGAACCGGCTGGGCCCCCGCGGCACGGTCTCACGGGGCGCCGCAGCCCTGCCCCGCTCCGAGTGCCCGCCCTCCAGCCGCCGCGTCAGACGGCGGCTGGCTGGCACGTCATGCACCGAGGAGCCGTCGCTGCTGGCCCCCGCCTCATCCCCGCTCTCCGCCTCGGAGTCCGAGTCGGAGTCGCCGGCGGAGCTGGCGGCCGTGCCGGGATCCGACCGGCTGCTCCGCGACCCCGTCTGGCGCAGCGCTTCGTACACGGGCAGCAGCGCCTTGGCCAGGCGCAGGCGCCGCCGCCGGTTTTGCGCGGCGGAGGTCAGGATCACGGCCGTCATCAGGTCGGTGGCCTCCAGGTCTACGTGCGACAGCAGGCCGGAGGTCAGCTCCGCGATGTTGGACAGCGGGGGGCGCTTGCCCGCTGGCCGGCGCCGCATGTTGCTGCGGCAGCACAGCAGCACGGCGATGCACTCGCACCGCTGCTCCCAGGAACCCTGCGACTTGTGCTCCGGGTACAGGTTGTACGTGATGGCGATTCCCAGCCTGAGCGGCCAAGGGCAGAAGGGGAGAAGGGGAGGGGGGTGGATTCATTCTGGGATGTCAGAGCACTGAGTGGGCCAACCATCCCTGCCGCAGCCCCACGTCAGCAACGCACTATCCACGGGAGGCACAATCAACCCAGATGATGACCCGAACACATTCATGCCGCTCCACCCCCACCCAACAAACTCACGCGATGATGGCCATCAGGCCCCAGGTGGAGTAGACGAGGATCCGCGCCACCACCCTCACGCCATGCCTGACGTCTGCCGGCCAGCAGTCGTCCAGCTGCTGATTCACGACATGGGTCCCAAATGCTGTCAGGAAATCAAGAGGCAGGAGCTTCGAAAATTTTATCTGTGAAGTATGCTCCTTTGGGCAATGCTTGCAATGTCCGAGAGACCTGATTCGGAAAGCATGCACGGAGGGGCCTCTCCTAGCCACTGCCGTCAGGCACCTAACGACATCGGCGCGCTGGCCCCCCCTGAACTCTTACCTGTGAACACGAACTGAGCGACAATGGGTAGAGTGCTGATGTGGAGGAGGGTCGGAACCCAGTGCCGTTTGGACACCTCGAATGGAGATCCTGCCAGGGAGAAGGGAGAGGGCTTTTGCAACTTGCTAGGTCTGCCAGCCTTACTGGCCACCTACTTAAACCGTCGATCCTCTGTACTAGGCCCACAAAAAGTAGTACAGAATAAACCTCATCACCCACCCTTCATTCCATGGATGTAGAGCAGGACGTCGATGATGAGATTAAGAACGAAGGCCCCAAACAGGCCGGCGAACAACGCCACGTACTGCCGCCCAGTCGCGCTATTGCACCCACTGGGCCATTCCCCTGATCCAATAGCACCGAAGAGGAGAACGCATATCCAGACAAAATGGAAGGCGCCGTTGATGGCAGCGGGGATGGGAACGATGTCGGTGCTGAAGTGCCACCTCCGGCCCCAAAGCCGGACGGCAGGCATGGCTTCGCGTCCCTATTCTCGTTCAGCCATGCCCCGGCGTGATAGAGGCAGACATTAAATATGTCGGGCAGAGTGCAATGCAACCACAGGTCCAGCCCCTGCAACGTGCGGGGTGCCGGATTGTCGGGTGCGATGCAGTAATTTTCCCTCTGCAGCAGTTGCGCAGAAGCTAGATGCGCCAACTTGAATCCTCATGCCCTGAGTCTCCACGATCCTTATGCTCCCTTCAACTCTCCCTCGTATGCCTTTTCGGCAGTATTTACCATGTCCTTCAGCTGAATCGGGCCAACAGTGTCAGGCCTAGCACGACGTGGCGGCCAGGAACTCGAGCACGCCATCCATGACCAGGGGGTGTGCTTCGTCACGCGGCAGCCAGTGGGACTTGCCTCGCTGCAAGGCCACCTTACCGCTGCTGAACATGACCTCCCCATAGTCCCTCAGAACACGTACTTGGACGAAAGGGTCCTCTGGGGGAGTGGGATCCTGTTGGAGGGCAGGTGTCAGAAGAGAGCTTGGGTAATGATAGCACTTAACACAAGTTTCAAAATCCGCCGTTTCCGGATGGATGATCTTAGAAGTTCACCATTCCTGGAGATAGGTATCTATCAATAGAATCTCCATCCTTGAATACTCCGAGACTCCTTTGTGATGATGATGTCACCCGGGTGCTCTCCCAGGAGCCTGCATGTGATCTCAATTCATGCCCAGCCACCTTGTACAAGCACCTACCGCTGTTAGGTCAAGTCCTACACCCAGTCTCCCAGAACGCATGTACTTGTTCAGGAGCTGGTCGTAGCCGGCAAAGTATTGGAGCTCGAGTGGGCTAAGGTTGTTCTGGACATGTGCGGGCAGGCTCCGGTGGGTCCATCGGAACTCCTGTAGACGGTCCGTTCTTTCCCGCCTGCAGCAAATGGGATGCGAGGAGTTGTAGAAGCATTTAGAGTTGCCCAGGACAATGAACAAGGGTGACTGCCGCTTATCGTAATTAAAGGCAAAGAACACATCAACGTTCACCCTACTTGATTGGCAGGTGCACATGTCTATCCTGCTTGGAAGCGCAACCATGCATGCACACGAGTAAAAGGAGAGTTCCCCTCAATGCCCTGCTACAAGCCGGCTCTGGACCTCCCGCGGCTGGCACCTTTTCAACATACATGTATGTGAAGAGGAGACGCTTGTTTCGAAGAATGCTGGCGTGATGCACTATCATCTCTGTAGCCTCCGCCTCGGTCCCTCTCCACGCAGCAGAGTCATCGTTTCCAGAGGGGCTGGCGGACAGAGTCTCTTGCGACTGGCTCTCCGTGAATCGCCGACGAGACTCACTGTGGGGTTACAAATGACGGCGCGGTGATCTTCCAAAATCTGCAGCACATGGATCACAACCACAGCAAAAGGACCATTCATGCTCCTCATCGCTCCAGCAAAGATACAGTATGCAGCAACCCGCACTCACTGGAACACGGCTGCAAGCCTCTCATGCTGCATGTTCACTTCGTCGATCACGTTACGAAAGGCCTCGTCCTACGGTAGGGTGGCGGTCGGCGGGTGTCAATATCTGGGGCCTGGTGGATGCGCGAAAAGCTGAACCAGACTTCGGTGCACATGCACACATACGCACGTTGTATGGAGGGATGACATCTTTAGGACAGCTGAGTACTTCCTGCACCAGTTCGAATGCTTGCTTCGCAAACATTCGGGTCGGGCTCCGTTTGTGGACGCAGACGTCAGACAATCTCGCACGGTCAGGACAAAACTGGGGCCGGTGATCAAGTCTATTGTTATTACTTTAGGGTAACGTGCGGATGGCCGTTCATCCCTCTTGAGGAGGGGTTTAGAACTGCTCCCAGGATTCGACAGGCTGCAAGACGTTCGTATTCAACCATCGCGAGGGTACTGCCGATGGTCCCGGAGAGTGTCGAATGGTTATGGGCAGTCGTGTTTACTTCTGTTAGTCGTGTGTCGCAGCAAGGGCGAGGATATCGACATCGGCGAGATAATTCAGTTGCCCCTTGCGTACATCGCATCCAGGTGGGCGAAGAAAAGGGTCAGTCCTGTTCATGGATTTCTTCAGGGGAGCCCTGCAGGCAGCAGAGAAGGCAGCCGAGATCGCCAAGAACGCCTCACAGCAAGGACTGGTAGGTTGTGGCTTTGTTTCCGAGAAATTCAGAATTCACCCCTTTGCTGCGCTCTCAAGATTCTACGCTGCAACGGGGCGGCAGGTGCTGGCAGGAGGAGCTGCTGAGCAAGCCGCAAAGAAATTCGGCAAGCTTGGCCTGCAAGAGAAGCTTGGCCCCCGAGCAGCGAAGGAGAGGAAGCCTTCACCTGATGAGCTGGCTGCAGTGGGCATCAATGACTCCTACCTTAACATGGTGTCCGAGCTGCACTTCAGTACCTTCAGGCAGGCTGGTTCTGGAGGGTGCCAAGATGCAGGGCGATCTGCCATTTCTGTAAGTCCTACTGCAGGCTTGGAAGCTTGCATGCCCAATCCTGTTGCCGTTCTTGAGCCCTCCCTCCTCTTGTACCTTTTCCCCACTGCATGCAGGGATTTTCCAAAGGACAAGCTACTGCCTGTACAGGGCCAACCTGTGGATGACCAGGAGTTCCTGCTGAACCCCTGGCAGATTCAGCATGCGACTCTTCTGTGCGCCGAAGCCAAGGACATCCATGAGCTCCGATTCATGCTGTGCCCAAGGTAAGTTGTTCCTGCGTGTCACTTCTCGTGGGAGGGCCTGCTGGGAAGCTCTTGGTGAGCACGGTGCTGGCAGGCCTCTCTGCACTCTCTAGTGTGAGACCGGCACGCAGAGCTCCACCTCATTTCCAATACCCTTGTTGCTGTCCAGGTACATGACCGACGGCCACTTCTGGCACACATACTTCAGCCTGATGAAGCCCCACCTCCCGGCAGAGTCTTTGACGTGGCCCATGGACACACCCTTTGGTGGGATGGGGTGCGGCAGGTCGACGTGATTTGCCTTCAGATGGACGCAGGGGATGGGGGGTGGTGAAGGATACATTTACACTTGTTCGTCCAGAAGCCTCTTGTAAACCAGCAAAGGGCCCTGACTTCCTTGGCCCATCCCACACCCCGGTGCAGTGAACCCCAAGCCTGAGCAACCAGCCGCCCCCGTGTCGTCCCTCCTCAGCGACTTCAGGTCCCAGATCCAGTCCCTGGGGTCCCAGGTCCAGGCCGCCGCCCACATGACTTCCGTCTCCGGCGCAGGCCCCGCCTCGGTGGAGCTGGCGGACACGGCCAGCGCGCGGGGGGGCCAGGGGCCCGAGGCCGGCGGCGTGGAGGCCCGGGACGCAGGGGCCGGCAGTGCGCCTGCAGGGGCGGGCTCCAAGCCAGAGGGCCTGGATGTGGACCCCGATCTGGAGGCCTACCTGCAGGCACGTGGCGGTGGGGATGGCGAGAGGCGGTAGCAATGTGTGTCTGCCGAGACATGCGTGTGTGGGGTGGGCTGTGGGCGTGCCGGGAAGTGCTGGGCCAGCGCTGTCTGGGGCATCTGACTCTTTGACAAAGCGCCGCGAGGGACACTGCCGCTGCCAATCCCCTGGCTGTGTCCCGCTACCAGTCGCCACTGCATGTGATGATGCCCTCAACCATACGCCACCGCACTGAATTGCCCTCACGCTCGACCAGCTTCGCACCCAATCACCACAGGTCGGTATTTCTGAGGAGGACAGGGGTATGGATGAGGAGCGAGACTCGGGCACCACCCCCGACCTCGATTTCGACGACTACCTCAACGAGCTGGCTGCCGAGGTGAGTGGCGGGGCTGACGCAAGGGGCTCACTTCACTGGATTTGCCTGGCTCCAAGGAGCGTGGTGCTCTCGATGCAAGCAGTTGCCATCCTGATCGTGGTATCCTTCATCCCCACATCGCCTAGGGAAGCAAGGAGGATGGCGGCGAGGCCGCTGACCCCACCACCCATCCATGATGGCTCCAGAGCACTCAAGCATGCACTGCCGTGAATCCTTAAAGGCATCAGAGAGGAACACAAACCTGTTCATTTCGAGGAAAGGCAAAAAGTGGGTCTCACTCGCTGGGGAAGTGCACCTGCACGCCGTGCACACCTGTACCATGAAAAGCTGTCAAACACCCCCCAGGAGACGCCATGGAGTGAAAAGGTGGATGGTAAAAGAGGGGACTGGGCTTGAGAAGAATCATTGCGTCCTCTTTATTGGTAGCACGGGAGGATGGGGAACGAGTCTGATGGCTACTGAGGATCCGCACCTGCGTGGTCGTTCTGTTTCTTTGCCTCTTCCGCCATGATTTTATCAAAGGCTGCAGACTTTGTCAGCATGATGTCCATCTTTGGCTTCTGTCGGTCACTGCAGGGGGTACGAGCAGCGCGAAGGGCTCATTGGCTGTTCACATGACACGATACATTAAGAAGCTTCAGGGGAGTTTGGCTGATCTGGATCTAGCATTGGGGGCAAGACGCAAGGAAGTTGACATCACTCAGCCAGCCGGCCATGCTAGAATTAGAACCCCTCAATCCATGGATTAAAGCACCTCACGAAAAATCAGCCATACCTGAACTCGTCCTTAAAGTGCTCCAGACAAGTGGTGAGCTTCACCTCATCCACAAGCTTGCTGTTCTTGAGCACCTCCGACAGGGTGACTAGGGAGCTCAGCGCCGTGCCCAGAGCGGTGATGTGCACACTCCCATGCTGCTGAAGGTGTCTCTGTGCTCGTATGTCGTGCGGGATGAGCTGAATGGATGGATGCAGGTCGTTCACAGGTGTGAACGGGCGGTGTCCGAGAATTACCCCTTCCCCCAGAGGCAAGGATCCACTTCCCTGGCAGCCCACCTTTGCCGTGCTCAAATATGTCATTGGCGATCGCTGGCTTGAGATCAGGATCCTGCAGGTCGATGGAAATGAAGCTGGACTTCCATGTCGATGAGCCAGCTATTTCCGAAAGCCCCCTCACCGGGACACACCTTGCCACGTCGGAGGGACTGTCGTCTGCGACCGCCATACTGGTTGAAGGGAAAGGAATTGATGAGAAAAGTAATTCTCAGTGACTCTCTTGTCGCTGTAGGGGACCGACCTGATTCAGAACCACTTTCGCGAGGTGGAAAAATTTGGCGGTAGTGCTCCGTACCGCAGGTACTCACCTTATCGCACATGGACGTAATCAGCACATGAGTTGACACCCTTAGCCCTCGTCCCGGCCACACGCATCCTCATCGAACTTCTTTTGACACAGCTCGTGCCATCCGCAGATCAGATCGGAGCCATGCAGTGTGCACGCGTCACTCAGCCCTCTGTTGCCGGGAACGGGATCAGGTGGGAAGGTGATGGTCGGGATGTATCCGTATGTTCTTCACAGGCGGTCACCCGGAAGTTTACAAGATGGAGTTCAAGTTTCTGACACATTAAATTATCTTACAACTCCGTAGGACCGCCCAATGTGGTGTGCAGCGCCCTCCCTCGGCGGTCATGATGGTGGGTGAGGGTTAAGCTCATGTTAGAGGTACCCTGGTGCGTTCTGGTGATGCTCGCGGCCGGGTTCGCCATCCATACTCCCCTACCCCTTCCCGTGCAGTCTCAGGCCCGTCCCAGCGTTCGCTGCATGGCCAAGCCCAACCACAAGGGCCGCTGGTCCCACATGGATGCTGGCAAGGATACCTCTGATGACCAGGTGTGGGACAGGGGAAACATGCTGGGGCTGTCATGAGGTCCCAGGGAGCACAGAACAGGCTGATGGTCTCCAGTACTTTCTCCTGCGACTACTCACAAGCTCCTGTAGGCCAGTTAAACTGGAGACAGAGTCGTGGGTGTCGATGAGGGATCGATGAAGGCCCCTTGTCGCTCCGATTCTCATTGCCGTCCCCCCTTTCCTCCCTCTCTGCACAGCAAGACATCCAGCGCGGGCGCGACATGGTGGACAGCCTGTTCCAGGGAGGCCAGGCGATTGGCGGCACTCACAACGCCATCCTTTCCTCCGAGGAGTACCTGTCCACCGCCCAGCGCACTCTGGGCAACATCGAGGACGGCTTCTACATCTCCCCAGCCTTCCTAGACAAGCTGTCCATCCACGTGGCCAAGAACTTCCTGGACCTGCCCAAGATCAAGGTGCCCCTGATCCTGGGAATCTGGGGAGGCAAGGGCCAGGGTAAGACCTTCCAGTGCAACCTGGCCTTCAAGAAGCTGGGCATCGCGCCCATCGTCATGTCGGCGGGTGAGCTGGAGAGCGGGAATGCGGGTGAGCCCGCCAAGCTCATCCGCCAGCGCTACCGCGAGGCTTCCGACACCATCAAGAAGGGGAAAATGTCCTCGCTCTTCATCAACGATCTGGACGCAGGTACTTTCTTTTTGTGTGTTTTTTTTGGGGGGGGGGGGTCGGAGGGGGCAAGTTTATGGAAGTTGTCTGTCAGAAGTGCACGACGTATGGTGTTGGGTTGCAGAGCTCGCCCGCCTGCATTCATAGAGCAATGGAGATGCATGTTTTGAGAAGGCCACCGCTGCAGGGTGCTTGTACACCAAATCACCATTCCAATACATGGAGATGTAGTCTATTTCATCGACCTGAATGCTGAGCTCGAGCTCCAAGCCCGTCGCCAGTTTTGCTTGGAATGCCCACCCTTCGAGGTTGAATGACAAACCATGCTGCTCACATTACTTCTCCCCGTGTGTAGGTGCTGGACGTATGGGCTCTGCCACGCAGTACACCGTGAACAACCAGATGGTGAATGCCACCCTCATGAACATCGCCGACAACCCCACCAAGTGCGTGGGGGCGGGGGAGGGGCTCTGGACACCTGTGGCGAGCATCGTTCTGACACCATGTGAAAAGCACACACGAGGGATCGGTGGCATGCTGCCTTTCCTGTGTGCTCACCATCCCATTGCTCACAGCCTGGCACACTTCTCCTCAGGAATCACCCAAAACGAATCATGCCCTGCCCTGACCACCGCTCCCACCCGCCCGGCCCACGTGACCCGCAGTGTGCAGCTCCCGGGTGTGTATAAGCAGGAGGAGATCCCCCGTGTGCCCGTTGTGTGCACGGGCAATGACTTCTCCACCCTGTATGCCCCCCTCATCCGCGATGGGCGCATGGAGAAGTTTTACTGGGCCCCCACACGGGAGGTGGGCGACTGGGGTGATCTCTGCCAAGCTTGCACTTGCTTGGCTGTGTCTGACTGCAGCTGGCAATCACGTCAACGTGTGCTGTATGATCAGAGGGGGTCCCCTCCAGTCTGTGGGTGGCAGCAGCTCATGGATCTGAGCCTGTTGGTTTGGTGTATTCCACCCCTTCCGCTGCCCCACTTTTGGGGCGCTTCTCCTCCTAGCCTTTTACTCAACCATGTCCCCCCCCCTTTATTCACTCGGCAGGACCGTGTTGGTGTGTGCAACGGCATCTTCCAGCACGACGACGTCAATCTGAAGGAGATCGAGAAGCTGGTGGACGCCTTCCCCGGTCAGTCCATCGACTTCTTTGGCGCCCTGCGCGCCCGTGTTTATGACGACAAGGTCCGCGAGTGGATCTCCGGCACCGGCATCGAGGCCATCGGCAAGCGGCTGGTGAACTCGCGCGAGGGCAAGGTGACGTTCGACAAGCCCATGATGACCCTGGACGTGCTGATGAAGTATGGCAATGCGCTGGTGGGCGAGCAGGAGAATGTGAAGCGTGTTCAGCTGGCGGAGAGCTACATGTCAGGAGCTGCCCTGGCCGGCTCCACCGGCTCCTCCCACGCCGAGTGAGCGGGGGAGGGAGTTGTCCCGCAGGGGGAGGGGACAGAACGTAAGCAGAGGGGGTGCCCCCGCTCAGGAGGCCATGGAGGCTACACCTATCTGTACCAAGCATGCTTGCGTGGATCTGTGTGCCATGGGATGGCAGTGTCTTGCCCAAATTCTTTGAGGAGAAGAACAGGTGATGCATCGATTGCACGCTCCATAATGTTGACACCATCACGTCTTTAATGCCCTTCACGCCGCACATGTGAGATACACCCCGGGCTAGGAGGACAGCAGGCACTCCACTGTACCTTTGGGGACACTGCTGCCATGAAATTAGCACCCTGACCTTTGAGAATATGCACAAGGGACTTGTGCGTCCCGCGACGCACCCCAACTAGGGTGCTGCACCACCACCGCAGCATTTGCCGACGGCGTGACAGACCCGTTCTGGCCCATCGGCGTCACCCTGCGCAGATTGGACAACACTTAGATTATCCAGGTAATATTCTAGATCGAAAAGCCTTCATCGATGAGGATCGAGCGTGCCAGAACGTCCGCTGAAGTTCATGCTGCACCACTCTCTGGAGGCGAGGAGACAAGCCTTCTGTCAGTCGACAGGCTCAGAGAGCACCAAGCTCGCTGCAGCGGATAAATTGATGAACTATAGAGCAGTATTCCTGGTTGGAAACTGGTGAAGTCGACCCTGAGGTCAGCTGAGTACGCCACCACCTTCTTGGTTGTCCCCACCTTGTGGACTCCCTCGATGCTGTGGAGTGAGTTCCCCCTGCTGATACTCCCGAGCCACTACTGAGAGCTTCAATACCATGCTGGGATCCTCAGGTAGATGTCAGTGGGTCGACATGGAGGGCGGGCCCCTCGTGGGCCTGCCTCCAGCTGTCACTGGCGAGGACGGCCACGCCGTGATGCCTGGAGCAGCATTCTTTGGTCGCCCTGATGCTCTTCCCACCCTGATGCTCCGCCCCTGACCCTCAGAGCACAAGCGGCTGAGGACACAGGAGGGCGGCCTCCCTCCCACCGATCTGCACCCAGTGGGGTACGGACCAAGCTCCAGCATGCACCTGCCTCAGGATCTGGAGGGCGGCCCTGCGCTCCCACCGTCCACCCAGCACCAGCCATCCCCAGGTCCAGCCCCCTCCACCGGCCAGGAGGTCATCCAGGCCGAAATCGTGGTGGACGTGGCGCCTCTGAGCCCCCGCGAGGGGGGCCCGCGAGGGGAGGACGGCGCCGGCCCGCCGCCGGCCTTCGGCCCGCCGCCGCTGAGCAGCCTGGCTCGGCCCCTGGAGCCTCTGAGCGACGCCGCGCTCCAGCTGCTGCAGTCCCAGGGCGCGGCGGCGTGCGACCAGGACCTGCGGGCGATGCGGCACGACGATGAGCTGGCGCTGCTGTCGGCGCGGCGCGGGCTGCAGGTCCGCTTCGTGGTGAAGGCGCTGCGCACCTACATGCCGCTATCGGAGATGGTGGTGGAGGCGCCGGAGTTTGCCACGGTGGAGTACCTCAAGCGCCGCATCTTCCGCGCCAAGCTGCAGCGAGGGGAGGTGCGCGCGGAGGAGCAGGGTGGGCGAGGCAGATGCGATTATGTCGGAGGGGCCTCAGCATCGCTGTGGCCATGCTGGGGTGTTGAGGCTCAGGGTTTGAGGGGCACGCCTCGCGGCCAACACATGGGCCTTGGCTGCATGCCCTACATTGATCCCCGCCTCGCACTGCCCCACCTCGCAGTACCTCCCTGCCTCCCGCTTCGTGCTGAGGAAGCGTGTGATGGACGGCAGTCACGTGCTAGGCATGGACAGCATCCCGTCGCGGTCCAGCAGCGGTGAGATGTGTCCTTTGCCAGGATGCTGGGGATTCGCGTAGCAGAACGATTGGCAGGGCCATGCTGCGCATGGCTCTGTAGTGTGCGCAGCCTGTGACCGCGCTGGAGGCAGTCTCACACCTCCAATGCAGGCGCAGGCGGCTGCGTACGCATACCATCTCCGATGGGAAGCCCCTCTGTTCTGTGTGCAACCCCTGCCTCGTATCATGCCCTTTTTCTTACCACGTGCATCTTCAGGCGACGAGGTCTTCCTCTTCAACGAAGGCTACATGGCCCCCGGCATGTTCGAGGTCTTCATCCAGTCAGCACCCTCGAGTGGCGACAGGGAGCGGCAGGCCCGGATGCCCGTTCTTGCCAGCCCGCATGCAGCCCAGGACATGCCCCTGCATCTGGGTGAGTGCCTGCTTGCGGTGCCCTTGCCCGCCCTGGTATCATGCAGATGGCTGCATCAGCGGCGCTGCCGCGCGGCAATGCACACCCATCGCTGGAACTATCGGGCTCGCACCCTCCTGCTCCAATCCTCTCAAACCCCCTCCCCCCACCCCAGTGCACTTGGACAGCGAGGGCCATGCCTCCTTCCGGCAGATGCTTCAGAGCGTGGACCCGGGCATGGGCTACCTGCCCGCCGGGGCACAGACCATGGTGGAGCCCCGGCAATCCCAGGAGGGAATGGGCATGGGCCTGAATCTGCCCATGGCCCACGGGTCTCTTCTCTTGAACCAGCAGGTGACCCCATGAACGCCGGTGCAGATGGGGCAGGGGAAGGGAGACGGGTGGGATTTGTGAGACCCAGGGTGCGTGGTGCATGCCTGGACCTGCTTACAAAGTGTGAGCGGCGAGACAGAAGGACCTCTGGTACCTTGCTTGCTCCGAACCGCAGCCCACCTGACGCTGCCCCCAACCCACTCCTCCCTCTTGTGCACCACATGGCGACAGTTCCTGGACCCCGCCTACATCTCCGGGGAGGAACAGCCGGGAGCGCAGGCCGGCGGCAGCCAGGAGACCAGATTCAGCGCTCGCAATCGCCGCCAGACGGGGCGCTGGGGTCCGGACGAGGTGCAGGCCCTCATAGAAGGCGAGCGGCTGGGCCAGGCACGGGGGGCTTGCCATCGACCGTCCTTGTGCGTCCTTGGAGTCCCCAACCGGCTCAACGTCCCGGAGCAACACCATGGCAGCCGCGTACACCCCTCAACCCCAACCCCTTCCTCGCTGCCACCTCCAGGAGTGCGGGAGATGGGGACGTCCTGGACCCAAATACACACCGCGTACGTCCGCAGCGGTCGCATCAACGAACGCCGCACTCAGATGGACCTGAAGGACAAGTGGCGGAACCTGGTGCGGCTGGTGACGCACCCGGGCCGGCACTCCAGGGGCGCGGAGCTGTCCAATGACCAGCGCCAGCTGATCCTGGGCATTGTCTTCAGGCCACCGGATGCAGGGGGGGATCCTCCGGCATCCTCCCCAGGTGCGAGGCTGCCTGTGTGGGCAGCGATCTGTGAACGTGTGGCCGCCAGGGACTGGGCCCGCTTTATTCGCCCTGGAATGCTTGGGGGGGTGCCTAGGGTACTCCTTGTGAGTGTTCTCTGATATATTCTCGGCATGCCGGGACACATGGTAAAGGAACCTTTGAGTCCCCACCCAGCCTCACACCACCCACAGGCAACTCATCCAATGCTGAGGGCGTGGTAGGACACGGGAATGACAGCGAACAGCTCGGGGTGGAAGTGGAGGAACAGGGCGAGGAGCATGGGTCGGGCGGCCATGCCGCCATGCATAGCAGTCAGTATGGCATGGGTGACCTCTACCCGCCAGACACCATTCAGGACTGACACCCGTCCGGGAGCCTTGTCTTTAAAGTCGCCAGGACAGACCCAACTGCATGTCAGGGGTTGGGCGATGCCGCATGGGTCACCGACTGACACTCATCCCCAACCTTGTCTCCCCGCTGCCGTGGCTGTCTCGTGCTCCTTGCAGCTGGGCTCGACTGTCAGCAAACTAGCCCTCCATCAGATCCAAACACCCCTCTCCTGTGCAGCCTTATAATTCTCGACACGTCCATCCATTGGAACTTGAGTTTGTGCTCGTTGAAAATCAACTTGAATACATGATGTAATAATATCAGTGTGCAGCAGGGCACCACTCTTGGGAGGTCAAGAAGCTCACTCCCCCGACGCTGCCTCGGACCTCCTGGCCTCCTGCGCGACGCTGAGCCAGCGCAGGAAGAGCTCGTACGCCGCAAACGTGATCGCCGCCGAGGGCCCCGCCTTGAGCACGGAGGGCGCCACGCCCTTGTACAGGCCCGCAAAGCCCTCTCGCCGGTAGATGTCAGCCAGACAGCCTCGCAGGGAGCGGGTCGCGACCAGGGCCACGCGCTCACCATAGGCAGTGCTGCGCGCCAGTCCTGCGACCTGCACCCTTTTCTTCGCCACATCCAGCGGATGGGTGGCCAGCTTGGCCAGCAAGCCCGACGCCAGGCCGCACACGAGGTGCTGCACATCCTTGGATCCGGGCAGGGAAGGGTAGCGGGCCCGATGTGCCTGCACAAGTTGCAAGAGGGAGAGGGAGAGCAAGGTGGACGCCATGCTTGCCAGCTGTGCTTCAAACTGCGTGCGAAGACGGCACAGCAGTTCGGAGCCGCCAGTGGGGGCTGTCAGGTACAAGGTATCAGCAGCCATGGCCGAGATTCTGGACTGGACACCATCCTTGCTCAATGAAGATAACACGTGCCAGCTCATACTTCCAAGAATGCACCGGCGCGCCATGGCAGTTGTGGGTGTGCTGCTGTATCTGCGCCCTCCACCTCGCTGACACCTCTGGCTTCTACCAGACACGCTCCCTCAGGAGCCCACCCCACATACAAAACTCACCTCCCAGCACTTGTTGAAGTAGTCGTATAGCCCAAATTGGAGAGCTGCGTAGGGGATGATCTCCAAGATGGTGATGCCCATGCCCCGATACAGTCCCGCCGGGCCATTGTTGGCGACGATGCCCTTGGCAGCATCGGCCATGCTGTTGTACACCCTGGGCACCCCCTGGGCTGCCAGGGTCGTCCGCAGCAGGTCAAAGGGGTAGCTGGCGACCGTGCCAGCAGCCCCCGACAGGGCGCCCGTCAGGAACGAAGCGGCGGGGTGTGTGTCCACCCCCCATCGCTTTGCCAGCTGCCTGCTCTGCTGGACCGTGAAGAACTGGGCAGCGGTGTATGGGACAGACAGGAGCTGGCCCGGGACAGTACCTCGCCATAGTCCCTGCAAAGTGGGGCAAGAGTGCCCGGGGGGCTTGCGGAGTGTTGCTCTCTGATTGACGCCAAGCCTGCACTGCGCCGGTCAAATGCTCTGACATGGTCCTCTGAGCATCGGGTGGTCTTGTCACAGAACTCCTCACTGGGTGGACAGTCAGTTGGTCTATCGACCGACACAGGCTCAGACCGCTCACACCCTTCCTCAGGCATCCATTCCCTACCTGGATGCCTTCCTCTTTGACAATGGTGGCGAGAGCCTGCCGAATGGACGTGTACTTGGAGCGGACGAGCGGTCGGCCGGACTGCGCTGCCGCATGCCAGACAGGCTCGAGCTGGACTTGGAATCTGATCTTTAGCACGTCCAGGGGACCAGTGGCGAAGCGAGAGACAGCACCAGCCAGGGCTCCTGCAACTGTGGACGCAACCGACGACGCATACTGATTCTCAGAGGACGCCTTTCTGCGGTCGCCTGGCTTGGAGGCCGTTCTGGGGTCAGACTGGCTCGGTTCAGCTCTGCAGCCAGAACGGTGGATGTAAGATGAAAACTACGCGACGCAAATAGTATGATGTCCTTACTCTTGTCAGTATAACCCTGCTCCACACCTGGCGGGGGAGCTGACCGGCGTGTTGACGCCCATGGGACTGGGGTTGCGGCGAGTGCAAAAAGCCGCTACTCCCTTCACACTCACGCCATTTTATAGAGACAAAGTCGGAGAAGGTAGGGAGAACGGTCTGCACTATGCCAGGGCCATCATTTTGTGTGGGTTTGTTGGGTGCTGCATAGTGGTGCTGGGAGGGCGCGGAATCCGCTTTTTGGACTGCTGGCGACAGCCTCAAAAACATCCCAAGAGGGGTTGCACCGTCCTTTGGGGCATCTGTGATTTCTTGTCGAGTCTCACATACATTGGGCTTGGCTGCAGTCATTTGCTGATCTGGGGGCCTCCTCCCTGCATTGTGGCGGATGTCCCTTCCATTCGGAATTTAGATCGCATGATGTCGCCAGCTCGTGGCGGAGGGGGCCGGATTAAAACACAAAGTTCGTTCGGAGATTCATTAACCCATCGTTCCCAGAATATGCCGATGCTTCCAAGGCCAACATTGCGTGCTGTGTCCGTCATAGTCGATGGAGCTT